AGCCTCGGAAGGTTAGGTGCCACAACGAAGACCATCCCCAGGGGCTTATAAACAAGACCTCATCCTTACCTTGTGAACTTGCAGGGGAGTTGCCTCCATTGCAGACAGCTCTTGGCCAGACTCCGGCTCCTTCTGGCTGAAGGTGACCCCTTTTGGCTTCCGGAGGATCTTGAACTGGCTGAAAGAGGAATACAAAAACCCTCCAATTTATGTCACAGAGAATGGAGTGTCCAGACGGGGAGTCCCAGAACTCAATGACACCGACAGGATCTACTACCTCCGCAGCTACATCAATGAGGCCCTCAAAGGTAAGAGCTCCCACTTCTGGCCTGCCCGGCCCCAGTGAGCCCCTTCATTGCTGGAATATCACAGTGTCTGTAGGATGGCAGTCTGGCATCCTAGGGGAAACTAATGAGAAGGCCCTTTGCTTGAGTGAGTTTGAGCATTTGGTTAAGGCTAAAGGTCTTTTTCCTTCCTAGATTTACCTACCCACTGAAAGTAAAGCCCGAAATGGCTCCACCTTAGGTCCTGACCCGAGTCCTCTGTAACCCCCAGTCTTTCTTGCTGTTTGGCTCTCTGCACATTACTCTCCTCTGTGAGCAGGCCAAGAGTTGTTTGGTGGCTGGCTCTAGGGCCTTTTGTCTGCAAGGCAAAGGATTGTGGAGGTAGCTCAGTTGGTATAGTGGTCGTTGTACAATGGTGTGACCCGAATTCAATCCCAGACACCATGTGGAAAGCTGGGCATGGTGGTAGGTGCTTGTAATCCCAACACTGGGGAGATAGAAAATGGAGGACCTTGGGGCTCTTTGGCTGGCCAGCATAGCCTACTTGTCTCAAAGAACAAGGTGGACAGCACCTGAGGCTCACCTCTGGTCTCTACATGCACCCACACATAGCACTTATGTGGACACATAGCTACAAACTATGTGGGTGATATATGCAAACCCTGGGCTCCAGGTCATATTACAGCTCAGATCTTTTACTTCTAAATGCTCCCACTGCTCCATGGATAGGAATATTTCAAGGTTCTGACTCAGACCAATCCCCTGAGCTACAGAAGAGAGTTGTACAGGCAGCTCAGGCTATCCAAGTTCCATTCAGACTGAGCCTTTCTAGAAAGATACTGATGACCCTGCGTACCCACTAGAGGACCTGCTGGCGCACAGGAATGGGCCTGAGTTGGAACTCACACTCTACAAAGCAGGACAGTGGGGACAACTTTGAGTACAGCTTCAGGCAGCCTGACACACAGGTGTCTTGATGTGACGTGTTCACACCAGATCTGTGTTTGAACAGCTGTGCAGGATAAGGTGGACCTTCGAGGATACACGTTATGGAGCGTGATGGACAACTTCGAATGGGCCACAGGCTTTGCAGAGAGGTTTGGTGTACACTTTGTGAACCGCTCTGACCCTTCTCTGCCAAGGATCCCCAAGGCATCGGCCAACTTCTACGCTTCTGTAGTCCGCTGCAATGGCTTTCCTGACCCTGCACAAGGACCTCATCCTTGTCTCTACCAACCAGAGGGTGAGGGGCACTGGGAGGGACCAACATTGAAGGGTCAAGGGTGAGAGGGACCTGCTCTTTCCACCCACCTTCCTCTAGTTCCTGGCCTTCTTCTACCTTTCTGTTCTCTTCCTTCATTTATTAGCAGGTGCTCCAGGAACCTTTGGTCTGCTACAGGACTCTCCAGAGCCTGCCTACCCCTAGAGACTGGGCTCTGCTGTAGGAAAGAGCAAATCTAGATTCCTCTAGTCCTACCTCTAACTTACTGTGGCACCTTCCTTGAGAAGGACAGAGGCTTCCAGGCAGTTTCTAGGTCAAGTTAAAAGATTGTATAAACACTGGGGCTAGTACTTATTGGGTGACTAAAATAATGTAAATGGCTATGACAATAAAAGACCATTATCCCAGTTTAGTTGCCCAAAATGATACTTAAAACAGGGCGCGGGATGTGGCTTAGTGGGTAGAGAGCTCATCTAGCATGTCCACAGTGATGGAGGTGCAATACCCAGCACCACACAAACAGGGTACCGTGGCATAGCTCTGTAATCCAAGCACTGAGGAGACAGAGGCAGTAGAATTTGAAGTTCAAGGTCATCCATGGCTACCTAACTGGCTTGAGGCCTCTCTGGGCTACATGTGACCAGTCTCTGGGGAAAAAGGGTGTGGGTGTGGGGGCACAGTGAGATGGCTCACGGCTCGGTAGGTAAAAGCACTATGGTATGAGTTCAATACTAGGAACCCAAAGTGAAGAGAACTCCTGAAAGTTGTCCTCTGCCCCCACACGAGCATCATGGTATGCACATGGCCACAATAAAAAACAACACAACAGTGAAGGGGACCCATGCTGACACCACAGCGATGAACTTGCTTTTGCTCTGTATGTTGGGGCAGGGGTACGGGGTAGGGGTAGATACTATGCAGCCTCTGGACTGCAGGTTTAGGGGACCTTCCCAAAGCTGTGGCAGTCTGGGAGCTAATAATACCAGAGCCTGAGCTGAGCCTCTCTTGTCCTCTCCTAGAAGCTGGACCCACTGGCAGCCCAGTGAAGGCAGACGTGCCCTTCCTGGGGCTGATGCTGGGCAAAACAGAAGCACAGACGGCGTTGTATGTGCTCTTCGCTCTTCTGCTACTTGCAGTCTGTAGCTTGGCATTTCTATTCTACAAATACTGCAAGCGCTCCAAGCAACGGGAAACACAGCCAAATCACCACAACCTGAGTCCAATTTCCTCCTTCTGACAAGTCACCACCTCCTCAGTTGAGTGAGAAGCCGGGTTCTTTGGACAGGTCTGCTAGCACAGACTCCTGCCCACAGGGGACCTCCTCATCAAGGCCTCCTGCACTGTGGGAGGTGATTTCCATCTTGAAGTTTTCAAGTTCTCAAGGGAATCAGTACCAGGAATTTCTCTGTGAACTCTGAGAAGCCTGCAAGGTACCCCTGTGGAAATGACTGAACTGTCTAGTGGTTCTGTGTGCTCATTTCAGTGATGGTAGACACTTAACTCAATGAATAAATAAAAATAAAAAGCAGCTCTAGCTTATGATAGTACATGTCTGTCTATAATCCTAGTACTCAGGAGGCAGGGGCAGGAGGCTCTCCAATTTGAAGCCAGCCACAACCACATCGTGAAATCCTGATTGGGGGTGAGAGGGAGCAGGGAATGGGGACAGCAGAGGTCAGGGACATAGATAGTAGCATGGTGGCAAACACATGCCTATCAGATTCAAAGATCTGGGTTCAATTCCTAGCCCCTTACCCCCAGTTTTTAGCTAATTTTAAAAGATTATTGTGTGGTTAGAGATGGCTCAGCAATTAAGAGCACTGGCTGCTCTTTCAGGGGACCTGAGTTTGATTCCCAGTGCCCACACGGCAGCTGGTAACTCCAGTTCAGGGGCTCCAATGTCCTCTTTGGGCATCCCTGGAAACCAGGCACTTGTGATGTACAAACATACATGCTGGCAAGATACCCATACATATAAAACAGTAAAAATTTAAAAGATAAGTAGGAGTGATTATGTCTATAGTTTTGTTTCTTACAAGCATTCCTAACCTAAGGTATACCCATAGAAGTTTCCTATCCAGGGAGCTGAAGACATGGCATTAAGGCATTAAGAGCTTTTCTAGGACTGGGCGTTGGTGGTGCATGCCTTTAATCCCAGCACTCAGGAGGCAGAGGCAGTTTGAGGCCAGCCTGGTCTCCAGAGCGAGTGCCAGGATAGGCTCCAAAACTCCACAGAGAAACCCTGTCTCGAAAAACCAAAAAAAAAAAAAAAAAGCTCGGGTTTGATTCTCAGAATCCATATAACAGCTAACAACTGTCTCAAACTTGAGTTTGGGGGATCCAATGATCTCTTTTGGCAATCTAATAGCCTCTGTGGGCATTGCATGCATATGGCACACAAAAATACATGTAGGCAAAACACCCATCCATATATATTATCTTAAAAAAATCTTATTCAAAGGTTCTAGCTTGGCAGTCAGGACTTTTTTTCTTTTTTTGAGACAGGGTTTCTGTGTAGCCTTATCTGTCCTGGCACTCGCTCTGTAGACCAGGCTGGCCTTGAACTTATAGAGATCTACCATTGCCTGGTGTAAAGGGTTTTCTTATGTGCACAGAGTTTCTACAAAACAGTAGGAAAAATACAAAAGTAAAACTGGAAGACAGTTTCTAAATGAGGGAGGCCTTGTCTCAACCCCCACCCCCAAAGTCCATGTTCATTCAAGATCAACAGTGCATATACATTACACATAACTTTCATCTAGAGTGTTGACAAAGATGAAGGATGGCACAGATGTCATAGGGGTGGGGTCTAGTCTCACACACTTATGGAGAAGTATGTCATCATACATCCTTTAAAGAGCTCACCTGGCATCTCTCATAATCCAAACCTCAAATATCCTTTAAAGTAGCAAACCATATCCCATGGTTCCCTTTCTCAGTCAGAGTACATCAGCCCTTCAGGTATAACAGAAAACCCAAACAAGCAATTTTTGTTTTGTTTTAGAGAGATGGTCCTACTGTGTAACCTGAGTCAGCCTGGAACTCAGTGTGTAGACCAGGCTGGCCTCAAACAGAGATTCTCCTCCTTCTGCCTCCATAATGCTGGGATGAAAATCTTCTGCTACCATACCTGGTCTAACCAACTTTTTTTGTTTGTTTGTTTGTTTCCATTTTTGTTTGTTTCCATTTTTCGAGAGAGGGTTTCTCTGTGTAGTCCTGGCTGCCCTGGAACTCACTGTGTAGACCAGGATGGCCTTGAACTCAGAGATCCACCTGCCTCTGCCTCCCAAGTGCTGGGGGTTAAAGGTGTGTGCTACCACTGTCTGACTCAAACCAAGTAATTTTTAATAAGCATAGAATACAACCAATGGTGGGTAATCAGTTGGGGCCTTACGTTTGTCAAAATGCTACAGACAATAGTAAGAATGGCAGCTAGCTGTGTGTGGACAGGTCAAGATCTTCGAGACTATAAGGAAGGAGCAAGATACAGGGTAGTACATACAATATGATCCCATTTATTTAAAAATAAAGATTACATATTTGCTTATATGCATAAAATTTTTCTGAAAATTACATTAGAAATTATTAATAGAGGTTATCTTGGGGAATGGTAGATGCCAGGACAGAGACACCATTTTCTTATATTTTGGAGCTTTTTCAACCATGTGTACTTTTGTAAGAGCTAAAGTTAAGAAGGAATCCTCTTACTGAAACATGAATTATATACATTTGAAGATTTGTATTTGATTTTCTGCAAGACAAACTTGAGGTACTTAATGTTTTTCCAGGATTCATACCCACTTGAAAGTATTTTTTTTTTTAAAATCATATATTGCCTTACTATTGCTATCTTATTCAGCCTAGGCTGGACTTGAACCTGTACCTGAGGATAATCTTGAACTTTTGATACTCCTGCCTCCTCCTCCCAAGTACTCAGACTACAGACATGAGATGACACACCCAGCTTGCTGCATTTTTAGAAGACTGGATTTTAAATGAGATGGTTGCTAGAAAAATTTAAAAGCTCACATTTTTGTTGTTGTTTTGAGACAAGGTTTTACCTTGTAGCCCTGGCTGGCTTGAACTTGCTATGTAGACCAGGCTAGGCCTTGAACTCAGTCTGCCTCTGACTCCTAAGTGCTGAGATTTTAAGTGTGAGCCACTATACCTGGCAAAACTATGATCAATGCAGAAGACTGGAAAAATTTAAGAGTACAGGAGAACTAGGACATATAGCCATCCATTAACAATGTCTTCTTTTTCTTTACATATATGTTAACACACTGTCCTCTACATACAAAACTTACAAAGCTGGACTCATCCTATGCCTATGCTATGTCTCCTACCTTCTTTTCACTAACACACAGCAGGCATTCAGTAAACATGCCAAGTGTTGCATTAGTATGTACCGTTTCTCAACAGAAATTATGTCCACAGAGGGTGTTTAGTTGTTTTCAGTTTTGAAGTTAGCTACTAATTAGCTCTATACATAACTAAACTTTTGCAATGATGATCACTACTTAGAAAAAGTTATTGTGTCAAAGTAGGGAAATATTTAAAGCTCTGGGCATGTTTTCAGAAAGGTTCTGTACCCCAGCAGCTCAGCAGCTCCTCTGTTTCCTGCCAGTACTATCATCTCACAAGCCTATTATCCCACAGGGAAGATAGTTCCTCCTCCTATCACAAGTCCAAGTCAGGGTTCCCTGACACACAGGCACTCTAAGAACAGAGGAATGGTTATACATACCCCATGTTTCAAACCTCACGACTTTTAGTGGAAGAAGCAGTAAGTTAGAGAATGTCTTCCAAACTCTTAGGAATAACCACAGTGTAGGAAGGGGTGTCTTTGCACTCTACCCTAATCCCACACCTGGGTCCTAGAAGTGATTGCTGAATGTGCAACTAGTACCAATGTGAGTGTGTAAACTAAGCTGCAGACTAGTCATTCTCAACTGTTCCGCATCGACTAGAACAGATTAGAAAGCAAACAAATGCAATGACCTAGAACACTTGAAACCTGGTGTCCCTTAAGATCTAGAATCCCTAGATTTTTCTTTTTTAAGGGAAGGGAGTCAGTTATTTTGCTGACATCTTCAGGGCAGCACTGGGAGGAGAAAAGTCAGACAAAGTGACCTTGATACAGCCCTGTACAACAGAAAGATGCTTACAGCAAAAATAAGATTATTCTCATTTTTGGAAAACTTTTTTTATTCAAGGTTTAAGTAAGATCAAAAACTACAAGATTTTGTTTGCAGCTGCTGAGTGCAAAGAGAAATGCTAAACATCGGTTATCACCTGATTAGCTAGTTGAAGTGCTCTAGGGTCAGATTACCCAGTGACATACCAATTACGTTGTGTGGCTTAAAAGTCTTGCAGCAAAAAGTAGTCTAAATGAAACATCAGGCTAGAGAGCTGTAAAGTTTGCGTAGGAACTGGTAGGTGGCTGGGCGAGCAGCTGGTTACCCTATTCAAGGACCCAGCATCCAGCTGTTTCATGTTTGACTTTTCAGGTTAAACAACTTTAACTCATAACCTCTAAGCAGAAATAAAGACTGTATACATGTTCTGAAAACATAAGCAGACCCACTTCTCCAGCAGAAGTCTAGCGGAGTGGAACCCTAAGGGAAACAGTGATGACTGTACACACTGTGCTCACTATACTACATCTGCTGCGTAGAGTTTCCATTCCAAGTGTTGTTCTCGTCTTCGCCATCATCCTGAGTCCTCAGTCTGTATATTTTCCCTTCCTTTTTAAAGTCCTCCCCTCGTTTTTCCAGCACTCTTTTTCGGACTGGTTCCCTGATATGAAAAAGAGGGAGAAGAGGGAGGTGACATAAAATACAAACAATACAAAGCTGTTTCTTCACATTTCTGCTAATATAGCACTGTTAACTATAGTTTTTAGCTCAACAATGAAGTTTATGGGTGATATCTGTATCTTCTGCAGTAATCAATCTTATTAGTCTTTTATAATTTAATCTTCTCAGTTCTCTAAGTCAAACCAGCCAAATCATATTGTTCATTTTTCTGATGACTTACTAAACCTCCGAACATGGTCATTTGCTAACTATATGTAAACACCTTATACAAGCTGACACACATACTAAGATAAAACTTACAGACCACCCTAGAAGATATACAAAGCTCCAGCTGTACTTTACCTGATAGAAATCGTCAGCCATTTGCATCCTTTACCAATGGCTTATAACCAAGAACAAACAGGAAGGAAAGAGTTTAAGTTTAAAGAATGTGTTTGTTTGACAGGGTTTCTCTGTGTAGCCTTAGCTGTCCCAAAAACTCTCTCTGTAGGCCAGGCTGGCCTTAAACTCTGAGATCCCACTGCCTCTGGCTCCCAAGTATGGGGATTAAAGGAATGTGCTGCCGCCACCACCACCACAAGTTTAAAGAATTTTATTAACAACAGAAAATGGAAAGATGGTGGAACATAAAGCCTAACCCTTTCACATACACACTCTACCCAGTCTCAAACTCAAGCCCCTTTCCCTCACTTGAGAAAAGTATTAACAGTTCACATTGCATCCTATCCCATACTATAATAACTACAGAATTAAATATTTCCACCCACTCTGCAGCAACACTAAGGGTGTTATTGATCTTGTTGCCTAACACTCAAGATAAAGGCCATATCAGCTAATCACAGTATTCAGACAAAGCACCATCCAGTCAGTGGAACATCAGACTAGGTCTCTCCAGACAGTAGAGGAATGGCTCCCAGGGCTGAAAGATTTGCTACAATGTCTATCATAGGCCCAACTACAACTCCAGTACTTGGGAAATGGAGGCAAGAGGAGCAGGAATTCAAAGTCATAGACAGCTAAGCCAGCCTGAGCTATATGGAACCCTGCATCTCAAAACACCTCACCCACTTCAAGACAAATGCTGAGAGTGTGTTTAACAAGAAAAAGCATCATTTGTCAGAGATGGTTTACCCTCACCTTCTTGACAACACTTCCTGTTAAGATATTTAGAATATGCCATCAGAGTATGGACTAGAGCTATCAGTGCTGTCTGTTCAACCAAATCTTTGATCTGCAATGAAAATAAGGCCTTGTAGTTAAAGAATTAAAGGTAAGTCTGAAGGCATCATTGTTCTTTTTCTTTTCTTGTTTTTCATTTCCTGTGTGGCTCAGGGTTTCACTGTGTAGCCCAGAAAGAACTCAAATTCATGATCCCCACTCTCCACCTGTCTGCCCACCAGGCTCTCAAATGCCAGAAATTACTATGTACCCCAACAAGTCTGGCTTAGAGGCACCATATTCAAGGGAGTATTTAGTTTTTTTTCAGTGTGATTTACTTCTGAGTGACCCAGACAAGAAAATCAGCCAGTAGATAAAAGAAAAATCAGATTAAAATCCTCCATACACAGTTTCCTGTAAAGAAATTATGCAAGATTTAAGTAACCAGTAGCACTGTACTAGGCAAAACATGGCTGGTAACAAGATGGGTATGGTGGCACAAACCTTTAATCTTGGCAACTGGGAAAGCAGAGAAAGGAGAAGGAACAGATCAGGCTGTGTGTATGAGGCCAGCCTCATCTACATAACAAGTTCTAGGCCAGCCAGGGCAACATATTGGCTAGCAAGAGAGAGATCATATACAAGGGAGGAAAACTTGTACTGGTAATTATGGAATAAAGAGAGTTGAGTGAATGGAGTGGGGGGTGGGGAGAAAGTTGCTTTCCTAGCACAGAGGAGTAAGAAAGCTACTGGACATGACTTGGGTATCTTACCAACAGAGAAAGCAAGAACATATACCTTTTCTCTGACTTGTTGGATGATGCAGGGTTTGAAGGCTCTGAAGATGTGGCTCTTACTGAAGTCTGTGCAGGAGGAGGATTACTAAATAAAAAATTGCTAATTAGTCTCCATATGGCCAGGAATGGATAGAGCACCGTCCCCAGTAATGTCCAGATGTCTCCACTGGAAGGATGGACAATGGATGTGGTTGGCCGTCCTGCCTAGAAATTTAAAAAATGAGAAGTAAACAAGCAAGTAAAGACTATCAGCACAATCAAATCACACTCAGGTTTAGAAGCTTCTTCTACCTGAAAATGGGAGTCTATTTACTGACTTTGTCTCAGTCTAAGGAAGTAAAAACGGTCATCTTTTATTCATGGGGACTACTAGAGCTGTCTGTCTGTCTTTGTTTCTTTCTATTTTTCAAGATGGCTCTCACTATGTAGTCCTGGCTATCCTGGAACTCACTGAGGTCCACCTTTCTCTGCCTCCTAAGTGCTGGGATTAAAGGCGTGCACCACTGCTGTCCAGCTGTTTTTACTTTTTAAAACAATTTTATGTGTGGTGTGTGCTTTTTAATGCATGCATGTGCATCACATGTGTGCATGAGCCCAAAGAGGTAAGAAGAGGGCATGAAATCCCCTGGAACTGGAGTTAGAGATAGTTGTGAGTCACCATGTGGACACTAGCAACCAAAGCTGGTTAAGTGCTCTTAACTGCTGAGCCATCTCTCCATCTCACAGTGCAACACACACTGCCCAGAAGTCACTATGTGAACCAGACTGGCCTTCAACTCACAGAGAGATCCACCTGTTTCTGCCTCCCACATGCTGGAGTATGCCACCAAACTTGGCTGAATCAACTCAAAAAAAAAAAAAAAAAAAGAAAGAAAGAAAGAAAGAAAAGAAAAGAAAGTCTTCTTTTATTGTGTACTAATGGTTTACCTGTTATGTATGTGTACTACATGTGTGCCTGGTGCCCAGATAGATCAGAAGAGAACATCAGATCCTTTGGAACTGGACAGCTGTGAGCTGCTATGTGTGTGTAAGGAACTTAACCAGTGTTATCTCGGAGAACAGTACCTTCTCTTAATTGCCAAGCCATCTCTCTAGCTGTGAACCAGATGTTTCTAAGAAAAGTAAACTTTGGGCTGGAGAGATGGCTCTCTCCAGCAGTTAAGAGCACTGGCTGCTCTTCCAGAGGACCAGGGTTCAATTCCCAGCACCCACATGACAGCTCACAACTGTCTCTAGCTTCTGGTTCCAGGTGTTCCAATGCCCTCCTACAGACATACCTGCAGGTAAAACACCACTGTACATAAATTTAAAAAAACTTAAAAAAAATCAAAACAGCAAACTTTGCCAATAAAATTAACAACTTTGATAATAAAAGTCTCACTAATTAAAGGTTTTTTTTAAAAAAAAAAAACAAAGAAAAATAAGTAAAAGACTAAGATTTCAAATCCAGTGAACACCATGAAATTCTGATTGCAGGGCAGTTTCAAGTTGATGACAACTATAGTTTAGGGCACGGAAAACTACACATAAAGACCCAGCTGATACTTCAGGTAGGACCTTGGCAACATCTTAGCTTCCTGAGCCTCTTTTCTCCTGGAGAGATGAAAGTGCTATACTTATTAGATCCATGGTAGCACACGATTTTAGTCCTGGCAATCAGAGGCAGGAAGACCTCTTTGAATTCAAGGCCAGTCTAGTTTACACAGTGAGCTCTTGG